AAATCGCATTCTCTCCATGCTCTGATGAATGTTTTTGTCTTTCCTTGAATTACTAACCCCTCACCTTTCAGCCAATTTCGCCCCGTTCAATCCTTTTTTTTCTACCATCGCTTTGAAGCATTCTGCCTCAAATTCCAAGCCCACCGGTCGCCCAACGATGCTGTTGAGTCGTAGTTTAGGGATATTTATGAGACGAATGGTACAATCATAGCGAAATGAGTCAGTGAACACGTAACGGTGAATCGGTAGTAGCCAAATATCGCATTCAAAAGTGTTTGAAACTAGTGATTTTAGGTGTCCCAAGTTGATTTGCCCAACCCGCTTGAACGCAGGATCAAGCTCCTCATTCTTTCTGTCATCCCCTGACCATTTCTGTCATGCTTCCAGCGGCGTAGGATTCGCCAGTTTTTATCGTGACCAAACTGGCGGCAGACGTGAGTAGTGACAAGTTACCTGCCTGCCTGCACGCCCAACTGCACAATACGCGTCGACTAACTTCGACACTAATAAGTTGATCGCACCGGTGATCTCGTAGTCAGTATTACTAACATCAGGGGGGAGGGAGTCGGGAAAACCGACTTTTAATCTTTTTAGGAGTAAACCTTGTGATTGGCGCCGCGGGGCTTATTCCGTAGGCCTTGCTAAAACACCAAGAAAGCATTAATACTATGCAGACATTGACGCTACGGCCTTGTGGGCCACGGAAATGAACTACGACTCACGTAGTCGGTCTGCATCCCTGTAGTAGCTCGACCAGTAGAAGGGAAAGTCGGCAGAGCATCGCAGTAAGTAGCTCCCAGTTATCTGAATTACTCGCCTTCTACAACTTTCCGGCAAAACTCACTAGTGCCGTGTGAGTTCTGGAGACAACTCCATTGAAGCCTTAACCTAATTTCAAGTTAGCATAATCTCTTAAAAGTTTCGCCGAACTCCGCAAGCCATTGTCGACCAAGCCGTCATCTCAATGCGTTACCAAGCAACCTACTCGAAGCCAACTTTACGTTCTGGCATACCAGGTGACCAGGCTCTTTAAGTCTCACCTCAAACTTTGGTGGCAGCATGTCTGGTGTTCATTCGATTTGCATGCCAGTTTGCCCGATGACCGAAACTAAAGATGAGGAAGGGTCTTTTTTGCTCCCAACCATTATTACTCGTCACTGCTCCGGTCTTGCAACAGGTCCTGCGTCAGGTATGACCTGTTTTACTTCCAGCTGTGGCCTCTTCCCCTCGACAAATTGTGGACCAGCACATCCACAGTCACGATCAGTCCAGCAACAAAGGTGTATCATGTCCGTCCGATCTTTCCTGTCCCCTTTTTTTCCTACTCCTTAGTACGCTGAAATGGAGGCTCTCTTGGATGAAACTGAGCGTGCCCGCGGTATTTACGAGCTGGCAGTTGCACAGCCTCTACTCGACATGCCCGAACTTCTCTGGAAGGCCTATATCGACTACGAGATTGAGCTGCGTGAGTGGGATCGTGCGCGTAGTCTGTACCGACGACTAATGAAGAAGACCCAACATGTCAAGGTAAGCCCTACTGCCCACACGTTGCATACCAAATTCTTTGATGTTTATGCAATTCCTACTTTCTTTTATAGGTCTCGCAAGTCTTTTACTGACGTTGATGACTAGTTGCTCGCATCCGACACCTTGATGCTTGATTTGTTGAGCGTATCTTGACTAGAGGAGACAGGCAGCCCTCTCACCGCACCGCACTAGTGTCCGTATGTTTGGGCTCTGCGTCTTGGATGCAGTAAACACCTTCACATTTCAGCGATCAGCGTATCGTTCCCTGTCCTTCCCGAATAGTCCATCTGACCTATTTGGTCACCCAGTCCTCCTTTACTTCGTCTGTAGGAATCGACAAAGGCCACCTCTGTCCCAATAGCGAGTCGAACACAAAGCCCTATCAACGCCGACTACATGCATGCTTTTCTCGAAGTTCAGACTAACCAGATCTTGGATCTTACATCCGTACCATTTGTTATGAGGCTGCACTAAAGTAGTCAGTCGGCGGCCTCCAAAGCCCCAACTTTAAACGCGCCATGATAGGCGACATGCGCGCGTGATTTATTGTAATGCGGAAGGTGCACACGTAACAGATCATTCTCTTTTATCTCCCGTCGTGTACTAGGAACCAGTTGGGGTCAGACGCAGTGGCCGATGCAAAGACGCCCGTCGTTTTGGTGCCCATCCAGCCACCGATACGGGTATGGACGTGTCAGTTGCCGCATGCCCTGTAGGAACAACGGTGAATTGTCGGTGCAGAACTTGGACATGTAGATCTCGGCTTTAGGTTGGCGTTGTTGGGAATGCATACCCATAACAAATGCCACACATGTGGCGTGATGGGGTGCCCAAGCGCAGACTGGCCGCGCCAACTAACTGCGCCCTATCCCGCTTATGGTCTTCTTGACTTTGTTGCTGTTTGATTTCCTCAGAAATTAACTGCAAACTTGGAGTAGGTCAATATATACTAAGGTCTATAGGTCGGGTGGATGACGATGAGGAAATGCGGTAGATGCGGCGCAAGCGCCTGACTCACCGTCCCATCGCCCACTCTGCTGTGGGGCACACGGTGAACATTGTGGGAATCGACGGCGGACCTGTCGCTTGGGGAGAACTTTTTTGATGGGGTCTCACGCCTACCATGTCGCTGGGCAGTCGATGCACCAGATCAAAACCGCCCATACTCTGCTTGTGTTGCCGTTTCTGCTCAGCGATTCTTATTTGTCAGACATGGCGGCTCTTCCCGCAATTAGCTTCTGCCAGAGGCTATCACATTATTAACAGTCCTAGGTCGCACCTGCCAGCCACCAGTTTGGTCGACAGATCGTGTACTTCTTTCTCCAGTAGGCATTTTCTTGTGTGCGTATATACTTTCTCAGCCCCCACAAATCTGCCCAATAGCGAAGCTGTAGCAGGCCTCCCTTCCAAAACCTTGCTGATCAATCAAATAAGCTTTATAAATGAATCATCTCATCTGTTTCTTTTTTCGTTGATTTTTGCCGGAAGTGTAGCTAACTGAAGCAAATGCTGCACAAGTCTCCTTCATCATCAGCCTGCGCCTATTGCAGTTTGTTTAACGGCCTTATAATCCATGTCGCCAAATATCTAAGTCAGTTTTCCCTGGGATCAGTATTAACCCTGTACGGTTGATGTTTTCTTATGTCAGTCAGGTATGTTCCTGTTTTTGCGTCTAGGTATGGCTAAGTCTGGCCAACTTCGAGCTCTGTGCCCAGAACTACGAAGCCCCTGAAGGTGAAGGAGCCAGTGCAGACGAGAATGGCGAGGAAAGCGAAAGACAGTCTCAGCCGAACGAAGTAGAAGCATCTGCCGCCATCGAGCGCGCCCGTGCTGTTTACCGCGAAGCGAACTTCGCTTTGCGCAGGTGTGAAGACAAGGAACAGAGAGTTCAACTGATTGACGCCTGGAAGGAGTTTGAGGTAAGAAACCAGGAAATAACACTCTCACCCTGAACTTGTTGGCCAGACGTCTTCACTGTCTTGTATCATAGGGGGCAGTTCTCTCTCGCACAGTACAGCGAGCTCTCAGACTGAGAGCAAGTGACAGAATCAGGCTGCTACCCGCCAGGCCTACTGATTTTTAGTGGAATTCGGGTTCGTGACTCCTGTTAGCACGAACAAGGGTTATGTTTCTGTATTGAGCCATATTAGGATGCTAGTTCACTATCCTGCAAATTTTGGCTCTGAATTACTGTGGTGTCTTCAAAGTCATAGAAAGTCGAGCTCTGCAGGTCCACGACAATTACTGATAAGCCTGTCCTGCAAATGATTGCACTGGTATGTGGAAGTTCTTTTATTAGCCAATTCCTCCATGGTTTTGGCTTTTTGGTTACCTTTCCATCTGGAAAATTGCTAAATTACACAAGGTGGTTTCGCGGTATGGGAAATATCTGCACCCACCACTGCCACCTTACCGGTTTGAAGCTCACTCAGAAGCCACTCAAAGTTCGGAACTTCCTCTGTGCAATATCCCCCTCCAGTCCCCCTTGTCTTTGTTGGTAGTAACATTCTGCCTATGTCATGCGCCGCTGTTTGGCTGCCGGTTGGGCTCGAGAGCGCCCGTAAGACACAGCGGGACGAGTGAGTTCCATAAAAAAACGATCGGTGAGCGCCCCTCCACCATCCCTTCCAATTATTATAGATATGTACGTTTAACGGAAGACTAATCATGCTATAGCTTGTCATCAGCGTGGTGGAATCCCATTTGTTTGTTGAAAAATATGTTCTCTCGGAGATCCGGCACACTATCGCAGGCCACGCGTACTCGCATGTACACCAGCAGCTACTTAAATATTCATGAACACTTTGAGTTCAAGTGCCCTTTTATGACCAGATTTTAGTTCCACTATGAATGCTTCTCAGACATCCCCTTGTTAATTTGAACCCAACACAGGCTGAGTACGGTGATGATAAAACGCGTGCCGAAGTGGCCAGCTTCGAGCCACAACGAGTGGTTCGTAGCCGTCGCCTTGACGAAGAATCCGGAGGCGGCTGGGAAGAGTACGTGGAATACATTTTCCCAGACGCCGATACCGAGCAGCCTAATCGGAAGCTGTTGGCTCTCGCCGCAAACTGGGCTATGCGTAAAGGCGGGTCAGACAGCGAAAGAGAATCTGAGGAAGAGGACGAGGAGGACGTCGAAGAAAAGACACGAGATGACGAAACTAACGCCAAACGCAAATGGTTCACTCAGTCTGCTGATGATGACAATTTGGATGCCGATGAAGATGATGTTCTCGACGAGGACGACCTAGAGCATGCCAGACTCTCTAAGCGCTTAAAGGCGTCGGCGAGAAATCCCGAAGAAATTGACCTCCCAGACGACTAAGTCCAACTGCCGCTGTAGACCCTGTACAGATGTTATTTTCCATCTTATATAAAACATATTTTGATATTGCCTTTTCCAATTATAATGCAACAAGAACTTTAGCAAAAATATTCTTACAAAAGATTTAGGACATTCAGACAAACTCTTTAGGTGGACTCCATAATGGGGGGCAACCACAGTACTGTTGCCTCGCAAGTTCGACCGTCGACAAAGTACCAGTTCCCCTTGGGCGCACCGCGGTGGGACAGGCCCTGAAATGTAGCAAGACGTTATCAGATGAATATGGTGGCATGACTAGTGTCAGCGGCAATTACCCATTACAGTGACCGACAAAATGTGCCTAGTGAGGCATCAGAACTTTAGGACATGCAGTTAGGGTCTCTGCTTTAGATTAGTTGGGGAGGCAGTTAGGGGATGGCCCGGACAATCGGGTTAGCCCGATCTACAGCCTAGGTCACAATTGGTCTTATCGTGGGTATCTGAGCACTTAGTCCTCAGTAGACTTCATAACATGCCGGCAATGGGCTTTAGATTAAGTGGAAGTCTGGCTGACGATGAACTCCAATCGCCAAAAAAGTTGCGGAATGTAAGAACAAATATAAGAAAAGATCGGGCTTCTAGACTTGCCTGAATTATCTCTTGCGCAATGATACCGCCGATTATTGCGTTTACGGCTACGAGAGACGTTCCATAGCACGACCTATAAAACAAAGGGACAACAATTGTACTCGGCTGACTCTCGAGCATTTCGGTTAAGATGCCAGCGCTGGTGCACTCCAGCTTAAACAAAAATCACTGTTCATGTCCCTTGCGAGTCTTGAGCCCCTTCGCATATGAAAAGAAGTAAGTTCTGTCCAAAAATGTGTACCAACGTCCTCATTAAAACTTTAATAAACAACGAGAAAGCACCTTTTTCAGACAAGAAGTGCGGATATGTGTTTTGAAACTGCGCTGATAAGAGCCGGCCCAGTCATATCCTGTTAGACTCTCCTCATTCAATCCTAATTAGTGAGAAATTCGCGCTGTTTGAGCAAGTAATGGAATAAACTACTAAAAGAGAGTTGAAGTGTTCTAAAAAAGAATCTCGACATTGTAGCAAGGCCATAGGAGATCTGTTAGACAAATATCAAATGTTTGTGTGACACGAGAACAAATGGACGGAAGCCTTGGCAAATGTAATTAAAGGTGGATTGGCCGCACAGAACAATCAGCAAGAAGATGGCCAAAAGGCGCGATAAACAAGCCGACAGTTAAGGGTAAAATAGCCGACTTGTCATATCTCAAAGGGGGTGTACACACCAGTAAGGGTATTTAAACGCGTTCTACAAAGTACAAGAGTGGCTGCACCAAAACTACCCCATTTAAGGCAGACCGGTATGGTAATGTTAATGCGCGCGTGATAATTGCCCGTGACTTTGGACATTTGATATTCTGCATGTCATGAAATTACCTCAAGTCATAAATAGGATTACGGAATAGGGTGTGTGCAAAACCATAATATAGTGATAGGACTTAAAAAACGAAATTCACTAAAAGCGTTAATGCAAAATACTAAACTCACGAAAAATCTTCCTGCTTCAGAATATCTTCGGCGACGCCAAGTCGCTTGCACACTTCTATCCATGAAGATTGAAGAGTCTCGGAAGTTAGTGGGGATTTTAGATTTTCCAGAGCTAGAAGTTTAAGATTTGTTTACAACAGCTGAAAAGACTTGTAAGGTTCTAAGATCTAGATAAGAAAAAGCAACGTTCGAGGTAACAAAAATAAGGCAGGGGAAACCCCAGCGGGAAAATTCTTTTAGTTGTGGCGAAGCGCTTTAATTCCAAGAGTAAGGAAATGACGATGAAACTCGTAATGCTCTTATGGAAGACGTGAAGACTGACAAGGGTAGACCTAACAGAGTTCACGTGATCAAACGACACTGTAGCAGGATGCAACCCACAAAGGAGAAGACTGCAAGCAAACTGAGCACGCATTCCTAAAAACTACGCATCTAGCCTACCTTGCAAGAGATAAAATCCTTTCGGCATCCTCTTTGCGGGAGTATTTGGAACATTACCACCAGCCCAAGACAGCTTCAACACGTCCTCCAAAGGCGGATATACGACGTGCTAGGAAACGGAAATGAAGGGAGGACATAACTCCACGGGCAAAACAGCAGAGAACCGAAGCTTGAATTTACGTACTAACTATTCCGTAACAGAAAGCCGTGTTTTGGACGCTTTAGAGGGAAGAGCAATTGTAGCATCAGGGATTATTAACCTAGTTAAGGAGGCTTAGCAAAGTGCACCCAACCTACTGGAAAACTGGCAAACACTTCAGAGATGGCTTACCCTGACTAACTCGTTACCATTGGACGCGGCCGAATGTGCAGAGTCCTTGCCGGTCAGAGGCTTGATAATTTTATCGTCCCTAGAGAGGAAATATGCAAAGGTGCGGACTAACTCCTCATAAAAGTGTTTTCCAAGGTCAGAGAAACCAAAGGCGTGCATGCCAAGGGCGGTCACGCAGAGGACCTTGGGGTGTTTGGGGTTGTGGGCAAAAATATGTCCAATGCATTCGCGCCAGCTGGAAATTATGCTGCTATCGACTTCATACGAGATGATGACTTCATCGTAGTCGCCGTACTTTTTCATTAGCTCAACAGGACATACGCAGGCATCCGTTTTAACCTTAACCATTCCATTTAAAACCTGAACTCGATCTAATGCACAGAGGCTCCGCTACAACGACCGGTGAAAATACGACTAACTCCAAACCTCTTTTCCTAAATGTGAAGGCTCGAAAAGAAAGCAGGATTGAATATCTTCCTCCGACACAAGCTTGTCATCAGCCATCGTGAGCGTGTTTATGCCGGCCAGGACAAGGTTTTTAATGATTTCGGAGGCGACAGGAGATACACCAATCAATAAGATTTTCGCATTTTTCAAGCGAGACTGTGCTTCTAAACCCCATAGTCGTATCTGTCGGTCATATAACGCTGCCTCCTCCTCAGTGATAACCGACATACTAAGCTACTTAGGCGATCTAAATTCGACAGCGACCAGTACCAGCGAATTCCTTCTCAGCCGAAAGTACCAACGACGATCAAGATGTTTAAAGAATAAAACAAGCAAAAATGAATGTAACTTCCAGAAAAAGTAAGTCATTCTAATGCAACCATTTGCAAAAAAGGAGTGGCAACCCATTAAGTGCCCTTATAATCGTTGATACCTAATAGTTTTTGCGTATTCTTCATTAACGCTAGTCAGTTCCATCATACCTAAATTAATAAATTTTGTTCTTACTCATGTTCACTACCTCTATGGTAGCCTCAAACATAATAAAGAGCAGATATTGCAGAGAGCGCATTAGGTCGCCGCCATTGAGTTTTTCAACAAACTTATCCATTTTTTAAAATATTTCAACGAAACAGTTTAACACTCATTCATTTCCTGTCCTATAGTCTCTGCACGAGGTATGGTTTCGTGATCCTTTTAAGTCTCAGTAACTAAATAGAGACTCTTTTTTCCAACCACACCTCTTAAAAGTTATGGCAATCTGAGACATTTCATGTTGACAACCTCGGTCTAGTTCCATAGCTTCCTGGAACTCTCTGGGTTGAATATCCACTCTTTTGCCAATTGCACAATTAACAGACTAACTATATTGGCGATCCTTAGTTGCGAGGAGCCCGTGTCCACAATACCTTGCTCTAGTTACGGCTTCAATTGCGGTCAGTACTAGTAGAGATTTGTGAGATTCAGATCTGTTGACGCAATAGGCTTTAGGCGATTCTCAGACTGCCTACAGTGACGGGTCAAATGGGTATCAAACTACCCGTTATTTATCATTTAAGACTCTACAGCCTGCATCAAACTGCGTAAATGTCCAAAAACGTTTGTCTATTTATGCAGCATTACCGCATGTATGATGCACCAGTTTAATAAACTGCCGTTGCTCTTATTCGGTGTGTTATTGTTGTAAGTGATAAGACTCGTTTACGCATTTTAAACTTACAGACGCACAAATAACGAAACGTTTTCTGATAGACGGGGCTGCAGATCCCCAAATTTTTTAAGGAAATGCCGATTCGGTGAGTCGATATGCTAGTCTTACATAACTTAAAGCAGTTTCAAGCTTACTGTGTACTGTGAAACAAATGTAAAATCATGAAAAATGTATTATCAGAATATAAGTCAATGGGAGATGGACGTGTTTACGTAGCAGAAATTGTGCTCTTCAAGTTAGTAACTTTATTGGGGATAAGGGTTTCGCACTCAAGCTTCCTATTAATTTCAAAATACAATAATAAAATCAATTTCTACAGCAATAATTCCAGCGCCAGCCGTAACCTACCGTGTCTGGCACAATCTTGCTTATGCGTATACTAATTCCACAGAAAATAAGTATTCAGATTGTATTTAAGTAGTTCAGCAATTTGCGAAAGGACAGCCACGTCAGGGAATCCGATCCAGGCACTAACTGCGATGAGGGGGTCCGTTTGACGTCCGTATGAACCAACTTCCTCTGTGGTTTAAAATTAACGACCAACAGATGGTCCGTTCCAGTCAATGCGAAGAAGTCACCAAACTCAAGAGCAAACTCACGGCCTCTGACAATCCAGTAAGTTTACAGGAAGTCACCGCGTAGCTGCGGATAACTGGGAGGAATCAAAATAAGTTCAGCCAGTCTTATTTCCACGGGCATATGACCAAGATTCTTGGTTCGCTATTAATCTGCACAAATGGTCGTCTTAGCTCAAACAACACCTGCGTCGCGCGTTTAACTGCCTTTAGAAATCCTGACGATGGCTTCGTCGAGGTCATTGGGACTTAGAGGTCTTTGTGTTCCCCAACACTTGAAAGAGGCTGCGCATGAAAAAGGTCTCAAGAAGAGTCATTATCCTCACTGGTCTTTCTGGTACGGAGTCTTAGGACCAAACGTTAATATTTAATTGGCAACGAGTGTACCACCTACTGAGTCGGTTAAGACTCTCTTGGCGTACATGCCTGTCTGCGTCAGATTTTATGGCTGTCCATAGTTTAGCTTGGTCAGCAACCATGACGATGCTGTAGCCCAGGTGGTCGACGCAGTTGTTGATGTAAAATAGGACGAGCAACAAACTTAAGAATGAACACTCGGGTACCACCTAAAACGATGAAGTGTTGACTTCAAACCATTAGCGCACACGGTTTGTGGTTCCCCTGTAAGAATGTCGGAGATCCATGTCAGGAGCTCTAATCTTATTCCATTTTTACATTTTTTTTTATAGATTCCAGCCTTTGTGTGGGACGCTGTCGAACGCCTTCTTAAAATCACTGTAGATGATATCAACCCGAACGCCCTCTTCCAGTGCGTAAGTCCCTTGTTCGGTTGAGAGAAATAAACCAGAAATACAAGTACAATTCTCTTTGAGACCGTGAAGGAGCCCTTAGAGTAAGTGGTTCTCCTCCAGGAACTTCCTGTCGCCTTCTTGAGTCTGGTTCCCATTATGTTACAGCATTAGCAGATTAGAATGATGGGCCAACAATTGCTGGCATTAGTTTGGGAGCCGCCCTTATATATCAGGTAGATATTTGCCGTCTTCCATTCGCATGACGGTCTGCATAATTAAAAGGACAAATGAAATATATGCGCAAGTGGTTTGTAGATTTCGTTAGACAGTTCACTCGAGAACCTGCTCGGTATAATACCAGAGCCTGCCTGAGAACCTGTAGGTCTCCTTCCATGACAGGCACCAGGAAGTGCATATATTAAAGCACGAAACCGGCATTTAAAATAGCAAAAATGACACTGTAACCGAAAACTCAGACTCCTTACAGAATACCGAGGCGAAGACCCGGACCAAATTTAGGTTTTCTCGTCGTTTTGATGACTTCTACATAATTATAATCCTTTGGTACCACGACCGGGTCCTTGTTTTCAGTCGACTCTTAATAAACTTTGATAAAATCTTGGACCTTTTTTATTCTGCGGAGTATTCTTGATTCGTGGTCCTTCCTTGCCTGACGGACCGCATTCTGTTGACGACGAAACACCTCGGGTTGTGCTGGTGACCCAGTCTTCCTGAACATCTTCCTTTATTTTATTTCTCTTTTTTAACTGTGTATTCGAGCCTCTAGTTAACCATGTAGGGCGACTAGTGGTTGTTTGTAACTTCGATAGACAGCAGCATCGAATCAGACCAGTTGAAATTGTCTTTAACGATCTTCGGTCGTCCTCTAGGTCCCTCTTTAGCAAATAGTTCCATTTTGCAGACGTCAATTTTTTCTTCGGTATGTTAAAGTCTGCCTTCCATATATTTCTTTGGCTCTTCGTTCTTTGCTGGCGTTGAGAGTTGTGCGAGTAATCCCACAGTAGAGTCCCTTTTACTGTGAGATACACTGGAATGCTTTGCGCCACTGTTAGATGAGTCTTTCGTAAAAAGCAAGTAAAAGCAATTAACTTTCTTGTTCTCCCCAAACCTAATCAGTATAGCTACATGTGCTAGAGAGAGGTCGACTCTGAGGTCCATTAGTTTAGAGTGAAATAAATGGCGTACAGTCAACTGCCAGATTTTCAAGTCTATCGTAGTCGCGTTGAAATCTCTGATAATAAGAATATTAGTGGCTATCTTCTTCCATGACCAAATGGAGGAACAATCTTTAACTGTCCTAGGTAGGTTTTATGGTCTGTGAACCGTCAGGGATTATAACCTACGTGAATTACTCTACTTTATTTTTATCCAGACAAATTTCTATTCAAGGGTCAGCTGTGCACTCGTCCAACTTCCTAAATTTCCATCCTTCCATATACGACTACCCAAATGTCCTGTCTATTTTGACGGTCTCTTCGGAAGAGCTGGTAATTCTGTATCGGAATGAAGGTAGCCGGGACTTTGTCTTTTAACCTTGTTTCCGTTATGAAAACGACGTCGGAGTTTTGTCGATTTTCGAAACGAGACTTTTAACTTTAGTTTGCAAAAGTGTCTATCTGACTTGAGTTACTCCGGCAAACATGCATATGCCCATTTTGTGGAATTAAATACAACAACCTGCCGGAGCTGATCTAGACAATGTGGTGCCCATCACGCCTAAGCTCTAAGGGTTATAGGCCTTCTCAGGAGAAAGGACATCTGAACATGAATAACTTTACCGTTCAATATTTGGAGATTTTCCTCACACGGGCTGGATCTCCTGAGAACTTCCGCCTTCAGCTCTCTTTATTTCTCTCCCTCTGCACGCAAAACTATTCGTTGAAAACTGTTAGGTGATCAATTCGGAGTGCGGAGTTCCTGCTCAGCAGTAGCTGCGCTTGTTCTTCATTCTGCACATTCTGGCAACCTTTATTACAGTGACATTCTCGTCGCCTTTGAGCTGTTGAGGGAATAGCTCCATGTCATGGTGTATTCTGCCATTTAAGTGTCGGAAGCAGACTCAGGCTTGCCGTTTATGACAATGCATTTACTGCTATAAACTCTAAACCCTTGTGATTCATTGTCACGTGCAGAAACTTCATTACGGTTAGCGTGCTTAGCGTTTGTTCCCTAGTCTGACCTACTTTGTCCTTTCTGGATGCTCTGAGACATTTCCTTCTCTGAAAAGCTCTCCAGTCGCACGCTTCTTGCACCGGACTTCGATTCTCACTCATAATGAGCCCGTTGACGTGCCTTTTTCTTTTTCTCCGGTAGACACACTTAAGTAAGCCGTGCGTGTGTGCGTCCTTTCTTTTTTCTGAATTTTTGGTACCAACGACCCTCTCTTAGGGTAAATGGTGAGGAAGCTTTCTTAGCGTATCTTTCGCCATTTTAGACCCTTCGTCTCATTTTCCATTTCTAAGTTTTTTGTAGAAGTCCGGATTATGTCATATAGACTTC